TGGGGACATTGGGGGACATTTGGGGACACTTGGGGCCATCGGGGCCATTTTGGATCGCGGGGTCCCAGGAGGATGGGCGGGGCCAAGGGGATGTTGGGGACCCCGGGGACATTTGGGACATGTGGGGAAACGGGGGACATTTGGGGTGTGGGGGTGCCTCACCTGTCCCACCTGTCTCAGGTGTGTCTCACCTGTCCATTATCAATCCTACTTGTCTGTCCCACCTGTCCTTTCTTATCCCACCTGTCCCGCCTGCCTTACCTGTCTCACCTGTCTGTATCTCACCTGTCCCGCCTGTCTCACCTGTCTGTGTCTCACCTGTCCCGCCTGTCTCACCTGTCTGTATCTCACCTGTCCCGCCTGCCTCACCTGTCTGTATCTCACCTGTCTGTATCTCACCTGTCTGTATCTCACCTGTCTCACCTGCCTCACCTGTCTGTATCTCACCTGTCCCGCCTGTCTCACCTGTCCGTGTCTCACCTGCGCAGGTAAGCTGCAGGCCCTGGACGTGCTGCTGCGGCGGCTCCGGGCCGGGGGGCACCGGGTGCTGATCTTCACGCAGATGACGCGGATGCTCGACGTGCTGGAGCGCTTCCTCACCTTCCACGGCCACATCTACCTGCGCCTGGACGGCTCCACCCGCGTCGAGCAGAGACAGGTGAGTCCTGGCACAGCTGGGCACAGCTGGGCAGTGTTAGAGACACCTGGGACGCACCTGGGCTCGGTTACAGACACCTGGGACACACCTGGCTATGGTTGGGTGTGGTAGGGACAGACCTGGGCTCACCTGGGATACTCATGAGCACACCTGGGGACACTTTGGTGTGGCTGGGACACACCTGGGGACAGGTAGAGACACCTGGGTGTACCTGGGTCAGGGGCAGGGAGGGGTGGGCAATGCCCGATGTGCTCCGGGGGAGCTCCCAGGTGTGCCCAGGTATCCAAACTTGGCCCCTTCCCTGCATTCCTCCAGCCCCAAAAGCAGTTCCGGGTGTCTCGGGTGTGCCCAGGTGTCTCAGGTGAGCTCCCAGGTGCTCTGAGGTCACTCCCAGATACCCCAGGTGTGCCCAGGTGTCTCAGGTGTCTCAGGTGTCCCGTGTTCTCCTTCCACCCTTCACCTGGAGGCTTTTCCCGCCTGCCCCGCCAGGTGTGCCCCGCCCTCACCTGTGCGTGTTGCAGGCCCTGATGGAGCGCTTCAACGCCGACAAGCGAATCTTCTGCTTCATCCTGTCCACGCGCTCGGGCGGCGTCGGCGTCAACCTGGCGGGGGCCGACACCGTGGTGTTCTACGACTCGGACTGGAACCCCACCATGGACGCGCAGGCGCAGGACAGGTGTCACCGCATCGGCCAGACCCGCGACGTTCACATCTACAGGTGAGCGCACCTGGGCGGCTGCGACTCACCTGGGGGGCTCTCAGAGGGCGTTTGTGGGAGTTACAGCCTCACCTGTGCGGTTGTTTGGGACTTTAGAGCTCACCTGGGCTGCCGAGGGCTCACCTGGGCTGCCGAGGGCTCACCTGTGCAGTAGTTTGGGTGTCTGTTTGATGTCTGCTGTCTCACCTGCGTTACCTGCGGTCTCACCTGTCTCATGTTGTCTCACCTGCGTTACCTGCGGCCTCACCTGTCTGCTGTCTCACCTGCAGGCTGATCAGCGAGCGCACGGTGGAGGAGAACATCCTCAAGAAGGCCAACCAGAAACGGCTGCTGGGGGACATGGCCATCGAGGGCGGCAACTTCACCACGGCCTACTTCAAACAGGTGAGCCGGGACAGGTGAGCCCGGGCAGGTGAGGGGGGTGGGGCCGATGGGGACAGCCGGGCTTGGGGCTTGGCAGCAGTGGGGGAGGGTCCTGGGGGCAGAGGTTGGAGAGTTTGGGGGGGACAGGTGAGGTTCAGGTGTGTCCAGGTGAGGTTTAGGTGTGTTTGGAGGGGATCCAGGTGTGTTTGGATGGGATCCAGGTGTGTTTGGAGGGGATCCAGGTGTGTTTGGATGGGATCCAGGTGTGTTTGGATGAGATCCAGGTGTGTTTGGAGGGGATCTAGGTGTGTTTGGATGAGATCCGGGTGTGTTTGGATGAGATCCAGGTGTGTTTGGAGGGGATCCAGGTGTGTTTGGATGAGATCCAGGTGTGTTTGGAGGGGATCCAGGTGTGTTTGGATGGGATCCAGGTGTGTTTGGAGGGGATCCAGGTGTGTTTGGATGGGATCCAGGTGTGTTTGGAGGGGATCCAGGTGTGTTTGGATGGGATCCAGGTGTGTTTGGATGGGATCCAGGTGTGTCTGGATGGGATCCAGGTGAGTTCCAGGTGCAGCAGAATCCCTTGGAGACAGGTGGGGAGGTTTGGGGAGGAGGTTGGGATGGACAGGTGCGCCCAGGTGAGCCCAGGTGCGTTCCCTGCAGCAAACCATCCGCGAGCTGTTCGACATGGCGCCCGAGGAGCGCGAGCGCGACGGGGACGGGGACGGCGACAGGGACGGCCCTGCCGAGGATGACGAGGACCCTGCGGCCACCAGGAGGACGCACATCTTGGAGCAGGTGAGGCACACCTGGGGACACACCTGGGGACACACCTGGGGACACC